GCGCGTTTCGAGTCGCCTGCTAGGTTATTCATTAACCTTTTAAAATTTTAGGTGAGGAGATAAATATTGTAAGTAAATTGAAAAGGTACGTACGTATGTATGTATATATGTAGAGAGATATTAGAACTTTACCACGTAATTGATATAGGAAAACATACGAACAATCCCATTCCAACAACACAAGCCCCAGTGTATTTTACTAAATTATTAAATATTAGCGTTGGTCTATAACATAGCTTAAGAATATTATTTGAGAGTGTGTATATAAACTTACTGGCAACACTAGAACTCGGTACCACAAGTAATACGTATCCTACAATTGCTACTAATAAACAAAGTATCAAATATGGACCACGAATTTTGCGTCGATCAGATAATATTGCAACCGTGACCGTTGTAAAACTTCCCAATATATATGGCGGAATGGAAAGGAGTTGAGAAATAACTAATAAAATAGGAAGCAGAAGAAAAATTAAAATACTATTTACATATATACAACAATAATCATTATAAAGGCGAATTAAAACCTACCAGAATTAAATCCCAGACCATTTACAATCGACGGAATAAAGAAAGAGTATGAATATCCGACAGTTGATACAATAAATTGTATAAATAATGCTATGTAAATTTTCTAATGAATAGCACAATAAGACAAATTAGCAGCATGAATAATTTTAACCTATTCATAGGAAATATTTGTCTTCCTACCCAATCCTTAAAGGCTTCGTAAATTTGATATTTGTCCAAATTAGTTGCGTAAACATTTGCTGAATCAAGCCGTAAACGATCAATGACTGCCTTTCGTTCATCCTCTGTAAGCCAGGTAGAAGTCTCAGGACAATCCGTGAGCAAAAAGTAGGAGACAAATGCAACAACAATTGTTACCAGACCATCAATGAGAAAGATCTATAAAATTATATATATATGTGTGTATGTATTTGGAAAATCTGTAATTATAATAAAGCGAACAAGAATTTATACGTGCCCATTGCCAACTACTAAGTCCAAATCTACCATCTAAATTCATAATAGCAAATGCCAAAAGTCCACTAAATGCACCAGCGATCAAGCAACCAGAGAAAAACAAACTAACACGATAATTTTGCTCAGCTCTCTTATACCATCTTGTAATGTGAAATATGACACCAGGAAAAAGACCAGATTCAAAAACTCCTAACAATAATCTTGTTACCAATAACTGAGTGTAATTTTTCACCTTAAACAAAGAAGTAGTAATTCAGAATCAATGATTACTACAGTCATGAGAGCAAATATTTAATACTTACGAATGCCATAATTATCATTACGACACCCCATCCAACCATGAGTGATGCAACTACAAAATTGGAAGTGAGAAAAAGAACATTTATTATTAATTTATATCAAATATTTAAAAGAATAAACTTACTCCAAATTGAAGGTTTGAATTTAATTAATATAATATTGGATGGAATTTCGCATATTACATAGGTCCTATAAGAAAATAAAAATCTTGGTATATAAGGAAACAATTTATTTACTAGAAAAAAAATATATACAATACTTACACGAAAAATATACTTAAAGCCCAATTAAATTCATCCCCGATTAGACCAAGATCACGTTCCAAATGAGCTAATTTCGCGTTTCCAATATTAACTCTAACAAAAAAATAAAAATAAAGAAATAAAAAAATATAATAATAATTATAATACAATTAATAGCTGAAATTACGGAAGCAGTTAAATAGCCTTAAAATAAATAAATACCTATCCAAGAAAGAAAGGATATAAAGAAGTGAATGATCCTTATATCTAACTTTCTTAATAATCTTTTTTCATCGACACTTTCTACAATTTCAGTTGTCTCTTCTTCCATATTATCATCAAAATATACAATTTTATGATTATATGCTTTATTTAAAAAAAAAATTG